TGATATAAAAAGATTGAAAAAGAAAGCAAAGAAAGAAAAAAAAAAGATCCAAAATACTTTCAAATTGAAATACAGTAGAACTTGAGTTTCATGACACTTAAAAATTTACTATTCTAATAGATCCACTTCTTGCTTCTTTGATTTGTGAAATTTTTTGAAACAAAAGGCAAATATCTTCTCTGGAAAAGGAATTTGAATTCAGAAAAACAAAAGGATAAAAAAAATATATTAAAAAATATTATAGCAAGAAAAGCCGAGAAGAACAAAATTAGAAGAAAATACACTTATTTCACAAATAATTGATCTACTAGTTTGGTTCCTCATCTTTGATTGCTTCCAAAAATTTTTTGGTTTTGTTAACCTACTCTAGTGCCTATCTAGGAGCATTCCTAAATGAGTGCTAGCTTGTTTGAGTCTTAATTTTTGCTTTAATTCTTTGGCTTTCTTTGAGTCTTGTCAAAAAAAACACCTATTCCTTCAATTTTTGGTATATGCTTTCTAAATTGTGCTTCTGTTGCTTGTCTAAGTTTTCTTTGATTAAAATTATGTGCTGGAAGTGGCCTCAAATCCTTGCTAAAGAACCAAACATTGACTCAACAAGGATAGGAAAGGAGTTTTGAAACAAGGACCTTAAAATTTGACCTAAATTTGGTGACCTGAAACTCCTAAAATTACCTTCACAAGAGTGATCAATCCTTTCCACTTGTGAGCAGCCTACTTTCATCTATTGTTTGTGTTATTTGTGCAGGTTCAAGGAACATCAAGGAGCAGGGTTAGTGGCTGATTAGAGCACTTAAACAAGTGCTGGAAAATTTGAACAAACAAATCCGTCACTAATTTGGTCACTAAACCCGCCACAAATTTTGTTTTAGGATTAGTTTAATTTCTTGCAATTTTATTTAAATTTCAATCAATTTGTAAAGCTTGGAGGGAGTATTAAGAAGCTGGTCAGGTATATCTAACCCTTGGTAACCACTCACGTGTAGTACTAGTGGAAGTGGCTTGGAAATTTCATATGTTTCAAGCTTCCACTTAGGGCAAAACAACTAGTTGCTTGATATTGCTTCCTTTGAATTGTTTGTCTTTAATTTGTATACTTTGCTGCCTTATTTCGACTAGCATGTGTAGAAGTTAATTTGCTTACGTTTAGTGTTCAACAAAAACAATTGTGAAAAACATTCAACATAAAAATTTTGTGAAAATTTTTGTGGAATTGAGAATACCACAAGGAAGTTTAGTGATTTCCACTTGAAAAGGCTTGGTTATTAAGTGGCTCTTAGTAGCTCACCTCCCTTGATAGTGCAATTTGTACACTTAGACTTCCAAGTGTTACTCTTGTTCCTAGAAAAGACCAAAAATATTTTGTTTTTGCATAGCATATAAACTTCTTATTGCTTAATCATGAGTAACCTTTCTCAAAGTGATAGTGATATTGAATCTCCTAAAAGTTTTTCTCAAATTTTTAAGGAGGTTGAAGCACTAAAACTATGGAGACAACAAGAAGTACTTCAAAAAGAAAAAAGAAAAGATTGAAAGAGAAGTACAACTTGTTGCTCTTAAGGAAGAGATAAACAAAATTAAGCAACAAGAAGCAAAACTTTTGGAAAAACTTAAAAAGAAAAAAAGTCATAAGAGTTCCAATGGCTCTACAAGCCAAGAAGATGTAGGTAGTGTGCATGTGGATGAACACTATCAACCTACACCTAGAAGAGTCATTAAGGAACCAAAGGTTAGGGAATCACGAGTTGATCTCCCTCCCTTTCATGGAAAAGAGGATGTAGATGCCTACTTGGACTGGGAAATGAAAGTGGAGCAAATCTTCACTTGTCATCAAGTAGGTGAGGAAAGAAAAGTTCCCTTGGCTACCTTAGTTTTCCAAGGACAAACTATGTATTGGTGGACAGCCTTGGTAAGAGAAAGGCGACTTCATAATGACCCTCCTATAGCCTATTGGAATGATTTGAGGAGTGCTATGAGAAGAAGGCACATACCTTCTTATTATAGTAGGGAGCTTATGGATAAGCTCCAAAGTCTCCAACAAAAGAACATGAGTGTGGAGGAGTATAGGCAAAGAATGGAGTTGTACTTAGTGAGGGTTGGAATAAGGGAGGAAGAGAGATTGACCATTGCTCGTTTCTTGAGTGGTCTAAACTTTGAAATAAGAGATAGAGTTGAATTACTCCCTTATAGGGACCTTGATTACTTGGTCCAACTTTGTATAAGGGTTGAGCAAAAAATTCTTAGAAAATCATTTAAAAATACCAACTCTAAATCTTATAACAAGGAACAACACAGGAGGCAGGGAAGTTCATTTAAAAATGCTAAAGAAAACCCCTCTAAAACTCAAGAAATTGACAAAGATCTGGAAAAGAAAAAGATCACCTCACACACTAGTTCAAAGACGAGTGAGATCAAATGTTTTAAGTGTCTAGGGAGAGGCCACATTGCCTCTCAATGACCCACCAAAAAGATCATGATCTTAAGGGGTAAAGACATCTATAGTGAAGAATCCTCCTCATCTTCCTCTTCTAGTGAGAGTGAAGAAACTAGTGACCATGAAACTGAAAAGCTTTATCCTGTTGATGGTGATCTTCTTATGGTCAAAAGGCTTCTTGGAAGCCAACCTTGTCCCACTTCATTATCACAAAGAGAGAACATTTTTCACACAAGATGTTTAGTTTCTAAAAGACATTGTTCTCTCATTGTTGATGGTGGATCATGTTCTAATTGTTGTAGTACAAGGTTGGTTAACAAGTTAGCTCTTACCACCATTCCTCACCCTCAACCTTATAAACTTCATTGGCTCAATGAACGTGAGGAATTAGAGGTTAATCAACAAGTGAAGGTCAAGTTTTTTATAGGAGATTATAAAGATAAAGTTTTATGTGATGTGATCCCTATGGAGGCTTGTCATATTCTGCTAGGTAGGCCATGGTAATTTGACAAACATACTATACATGATAGCCTTACTAACAAAATATTCTTCACTCATAAAGATAAACAAATTGTTTTTAATCCTTTAACACCACCCCAAGTGTTTGAGTATCAAAAACAAATGAAAAGAAAAAGAAAGAAAGAATGAAAAGAAAACAAATTATTAGGAAAG